ATGTGCTGTGTTCAAACCTGTAGGAACTGTTCTTATTCTTGTCTTTCTCCAGATAACTTGTAGTTTGTCTTCGAGCAATATTTCTGTACCTTTCAGCTTCCTATTTTCAACTTCCATTAGTCATCCTTCAGCTGTCATGCCCCTGGGCTTTTTCTCTCTGCTTGTTCTAGTTCCTTTCTCATTCTTTAAAATATGTATGTGTGTGTGTGTGTGTGTGTATATATATATGTGTATGTATATGTGTATGTATATATATACACACACACAAACATATACATATATATATATATATAATTTATTTATTTATGTATTTTTGAAAGGGAGTTTCACTCTGTCGCCCAGGCTGGAGTGCAGTGGTGTGATCTCAGCTCACTGCAAGCTCTGCCTCCTGGATTCACGCCATTCTCCTGCCTCAACCTCCCGAGTAGCTGGGACTATAGGCGCCCACCACCACGCCTGGCTAATTTTTTGTATTTTTAGTAGAGATGGGGTTTCACCATGTTAGCCTGGATGGTCTAGATCTCCTGACCTCGTGATATGCCCGCCTCAGCCTCCCAAAGTGCTGGGATTACAGACACGAGCCACCACACCTAGCCTTTATATATATATATGTGTGTATATATATATAAATATAAATTTTTATTCTTTTTTGAAATTTTCTTTTTAAAAAAATATTTTAGAGACAGGGTCTCATTCTGTGACCCAGGCTGGAGTTTGGTGGCATGATCATATCTCTGCAGCCTCGAACTCCTGGGATCAAGAAACCCCCCTGCCTCAGCTTCCCAAATAGCTAGAACTACAGGTGTCAACCAGCTCACCCAGCTGGCTGGGTGTCATTCTTAATTCAATTCAACATGATGATAGTAGAGCAAATAGAATTAAATAAAATCTCTGATTACAAATGCCAGCTCTATAATCGGCTTAGTGTACATCCTGCACTTCCCCTCCTTAAACTTCAATTTCTTTGTTAGTAAAATAGGAATAAGTAATACAATTTTGAGTTGCTGGTATGGATGAAATGAAATACTATATGTGAAATATCTAGCATGGTACTTCACATATAGCGATATCCTGCCTAGTTTTTTTGCCCTCTTCAACAAAGCCCATGCCACCTCTAATGAATATTACACTATGTTCTTCTAGGAGATTATTGAGCTGATTTAATGTAACTGTTGTGATGATACACTATTTTTGCTCAGAAAGAAACTAAGGTTACTCTTGTAATCTTACTAGAAAAAAAGTTATTCCTTCATTTCCAATCTTTGCCCTGAAACGTACTCATAGTTGTGAGACATTGGACAAATTATTACTCTTTCTGAGCCTAAAAATTGGGGGTAATAATACCTACACTAATAGTTCTCTTATTCACAATTAAGGGAACAAGTCCCATGTAGCATATGGTCACAGTATCAGCATATGTTGACCACATATGGTAATTTTGACATTTATGCTGATACTGTCTGGCACGGCTGGATTGACTGAAGCAGAATGACATCTCTGGACAGATTTCTTTCCACTTGGATGGAACAAGCAAAAGAAATGCACACTCGTTGTTTGTAGTAGATTTGAAGGTATCGCACAGTATCTGGGGGTAATGACAGAATAACCAGTCACGGAGTTACTTCCGTCAGTGGTCCAGCAAGAGCCAAACCATGAAACTCAGCAACAAACTGGAGCACAGAAATCCTAGATAATAACACATCATAATAGTAGGCCAAACCTAGGTATACTAGAGTTCGAGTTTTAGGCACCGTACTAGAGATTTTCATGAATTATTTTATTTAACCCAATACTATCAGGTAGGTATTATTATTGTTATTATTGAGACAGAGTTTCACTCTCGCTGTCCAGGCTGGAGTGCAATGGTACGATCTCGGCTCACCTCAACCTCCGCCTCCCAGCTTCAAGAGATTTTCCTGCCTCAGCCTCCTAAGTAGCTGGGATTACAGGCATGCATCACCATGCCCAGCTAATTTTGTATTTTTAGTAGAGACGGGGTTTCTTCTTGTTGGTCAGGCTGGTCTCGAACTCCCAACCTCAGGTGATCCACCTGCCTCGGCCTCCCAAAGTGCTGAGATTACAGGCATGAGCCACCGTGCTCAGCCTCAGGTAGGTACTATTATCTTCATTTTAGAGGTGAGGAAATGAGGCATAGAGAGATTCATAGTCTTATGTTTGCATAGCATTTGAGTAGAGAAGCCAGAATTGTGGTCTGCATTATTTTATCCCAGAGTCTATACTTTTAACTATCACCTTCTAGTGACCCATGGCAGGCAGCATCACGTACCTAGGTGGGCAGTAGACATTTGAATATCTTCTTGCAGCATCCAGGATGAGACTTAACGCTGTGAACACAGATAGTTCCTTTGAGAGAAAGGTATTTCTTTAATCATGAGTGAGTAGGGGTCAAAGACTATGCCTATCAGAAGTCACATTGTCCAAGACAATAGGTGGAATATCACTATCTTGTTACATTATGTATGGAAAATATATGAAAATTTGTATTATTTATGAAATATATAGGAAACATATAAAACATGCCAAGGTGAACACCAAAGATGTTTCTGTAATTCTGAGGATTTCCAAGGCAGGCAATCAAGATGCCTTACTTGAGGGAGTGTCACTGAACAGGAAAATATTTTAAGAGACCAAACAGAAGGCACAAGTTGGAAAAGAACCAAGTAAGAGAGACAGAAAGAAAATTTGGTTCAAATGATGGGCACTGGCAGAAGGGGAGAGAGAAAGGGGCTGGCCTTGTTATGAAAGCCTTGCAGTCTCTGGGAGGAGCAGGAGCTCAAATGCTCAGAGAACCTGGAAACATACAATTAAAGTATGAAAATAAAACAACAAATTACTCAGTAAACTGTAGAGTGCTAAATGAACATGAGATACTTTTACAGCTAATGACATTGTTGGCAGGGTGGGCAGGAGACTGGAGAGAAGAGGGTGGATTTCTCTGGAAGGCCAATAAGTATATAACAATTCTTTTATCCTGTTTCACTTTTATTACTTATTTTACCCTGTTGTCACTGGCATGTGGTGACATTTATGTACTAGTAGATGAATGAGGGAAAGTCGACATCGCTTGCTTTTCTTTACAGAGAAAGCAGGTCTGCAAATATCCTGGTAAGTTTATTAGCAGGCAGGAATTGGGAAATGTTGGAACACATTGAAAGGCAGTGGGTGCTGGGCAGACGGTGACAAAAGCACTAAGAAGACCAAGCTGAGTTTTTAATTTGAGGCTTCATACACCACATATCACTAATACAAACTGTATTAGGGCTGGGATGTATTTAAATAGTCAAATGACAAAAAGCAGACCAATGCTATAGCTTTGTGTTTATTTCTTCTATAATTAAAAAAATCTATTTCATTAAACCGAAACAAAGAAATGAAGGTACTGCAACATTAATACACAATTTACTGTTAACAGAGATGCTATCATTTGTGTCATTATCTACAATGACTGTATAGTTTAATGTTCAAATTGAGACATTTTTGTATGTGAAAGAGGATGCTATTAACAATTATGCCAGGACAACAAGACTAAACCGGGATTGCATGCTAAATCACGACGGCCCCTCGCCAGACTTTCTAACATGTTCCTTTACTGCCATCTAGCAGCAGTGGAGGGGATTGTAGGAAAGGCATAACACCTTCACATACCACATTTCAAATTAGCCTCAAAGTTGTGGTATGTAGGGGTTATCTATAATGTCCTTTGCAACCACATAGTTTCTGGATCTGTGTTATCTGCATATGTAATTATATTCATATTTGCCAGCCGGTAGTGATGTCTTCCATAGCAACCCTAATTGTCGCATGCGTAAAATAGCTGTAGATAGATAAATAGATTATACATACACACATATATTTATATATAAAATATATTTTTTATATTTGTATTAAATAATATTTACATAAAATATATTTGCATATATTTATATAAAAATCTTATGTGATATAAATATTTATATTGATATCAATAAATATATATTTATTGATATAAATTTATTCATATAAAATGTTATAATTTTTGTTTATATTAAATACAATTAAATATTTATGTTAAATGTATATATAAATATTCTAATATTTGTATAAGTAAATAAATAGATAGTGAGTCAAATAATCATAGTTGTATCAGATCTTAGAGACTAATTAGAGCAAGTCTCTAATTTTGAAGAGGAGGACACTGAGTCCCAGAGAATTAAGGGCATTTGCCAGGATTTCACAGCTGAAGGGGAGTAAACAAAACCAGATTTGGGATTAGAAAGCAATTTTTCTGACTCCAATTCCAGTGTCTGTGAGTCTAGGGCCTGCAAGAGAGAGAAAGGAACAGTTGAGTGTTTGAAATAACGGAATAAAATGTCGCGCTCCCCTGGGAAGCCGTGTGAGGAACTGAATTTGCTAGGACAGTCCCCCAGTGGGGATTTCAGTCAGTGTTTCTCTGCCATCCATCCCCTAAGAGGGTCGTGTTTCCATCTGCCTTGCGGTTTGGTTTAGTCACTGCCCTCCAGGGAAAGTTGGTCTTGTTGAGGTGGTGGATCTGCAGTAGTCAGCAGGCTGTTCCACAAATGTACATGTCATTGTCTCTGCTGGGGTACGTTGGTGGAGGAAGAGTTTGCGGGAGAACTGTGTTGGAGATAAAATCAGTGGGAATGTTTTTGTGTTTTGGTAAGTAATATCAACCTCAGATATCTGGTCTCTGCACTTGGAAATTGCTTTGGGGGCCCTTCCTTCTAAACATGTGGATTCCTCCTAATCCACAGAATGTCTTGTTCTGTATTTGGGTAGTTTCAGGAGCCCATTGCCCAGTGTACCCATCACGACCATTTAGGACATTAATTCATGGTCTTGTACTCTCCTGGTAGCAGCTGCAGCCACATCTGGGGTAGGAAGATGAGGAAGAGGCTTGAGGCTTTTTCAAATGTCTTCTTGGAGTTCAGTGGGGGAGAAGAGCAGACAGAGAGTTTGCACCCTGGAGGGAACTGACTCAGTCACGCTGTGTCATCGCTACTGCGGAGATACATGGCTGAGTCCCTCGGCTCTGTGGGATGGATCTTCAGCGTGGAAGACGTTCCGTTAGGTCTTTCAGCTGTGAATTGTTCTTGGGCATCCCTGAATCAACTGCAATGTTTTAGTATTGGAAGGAAATCAGAAACTTCATTTCTTGCCTCAGATTCTGTTGGTACCAGTGAACAAATATGTGACCAGAAGATGGATCGCACCTCAGAATCACCTCCTGTCCCATCTCGGTGACCTTGTGTCCAGGGGACTGGCTGTCTGCAGGTTCCGAGTGTCCTGTGGAAGAAGACAGAAGCCATAGAAGGTGAAGGGACGCCCAAAGAAAACATCTTTTTTTTTTTTTTTTTTTTTAAAGACAGGGTCTTTCTCTGTTGCCTAGGCTAGAATGGAATGTCATGATCTCCGCTCACTGCAGCCTCCACTTCCCAGGTTCAAGTGATCCTATCACTTCAGCCTCCCAAGTAGCTGGGACTACAGGAGCACGCTACCATGCCCGGCTAATTTTTGTATTTTTTGGTAGAGAAGGGGTTTAGCATGTCGACCAGGCTGGTCTCGAACTCTTGACCTCGGGTGATCCACTCACCTCAACCTCTCAAAGTGCTGGGATTATGGCCGTGAGCCACCACACCCAGTCAAAAACACCTTTTATGCAAGTTTTTATGGATACCTGGACTCATCTGCCCCCAAGAGACACAGGGTCACCCAGCAGAGGAGCCAGATATCTAGGCGAGGTCAGGCAGGGCAAGGCACTCCCAGCGATGGGTTCTGATGTGCAGTAGCAAAGGGCAGTGAAAGTTCTGGGTTCCCCTGGCCCCATGAGGTAGGATCTGGCCATGACATCATGTCCCCAGCAGCACCCACAACCTCAGGGCACCTTCCATAGGAGATGGGGATCCTTGGTTCAAATATTTGGCCTCATCCTTATATTGCTACACGGATGATGCTAAACAAGGCTCCAATCCCACTTGCAGGTGCTTAGGAAAAAACATGAGAGGAAGTGCAAAAGGAAAGAGAAGAAAGTGAGAATTTAGAAATGAAGAACAAAATTGTAAAACACTACAGAAGATTTGCAATGTTATTAGTCTTATGAAGTCCTTGGGGCTGAACGTTAGCACAAACAGAAATACTCAAGAGCAATGATATATATTCCTAAAACCCACCAACAAGTAATTTCGACTGAAATTCTGACCCTGTCCTGGAATATACCTGTTTAACCCCTCCCTCAGGTGACACTGAGAAAAGTTGTCTCAGACCACACTTCAAAATTTTTTCTTTTCTTTTCTTTTGAGACAGAGTCTCTCTCTGTTGCCCAGGCTGGAGTGCAGTGGTGCAATCTTGGCTCACTGCAACCTCTGCCTCTGAGGTTCAAGAGATTCTCCTGCTTCAGCCTCCTGAGTAGCTGAGATTACAGGATCCCGCCACCATGCCCAGCTAATTTTTGTATTCAAAATTTTTTCAGTAGAGATTTTTAAAAGGCTAAGCAAAAAAGAAGACCATTTTCCCTTTAAACTAGAATGTTAAATTTTAAATAGAACGAGAAGAATTTTCCTGGGAAAGAGAATATTAAATGGATAGATTTAGTTTCTGGGAACTGCATTGAAAACAAAAAGAACACAGAGAAAATGAGACACCTAGTTGAAAATGATGTAAATGGAACTGAGCAAAAATTAATGCTTAGGACTTAGGGCATGGTCAGTATTGTCAAGAGCTTCAAAGAGATCCAGCAGGCAAAGAAACACACGTGTGTCTTTTGGTCTGGTAAGTATGTAATTTTAATCTTTAGGAGAACAGTTTTGTTAGAATGGAAATATTTCAAGAAAAAGCTGAAGATGGCATCTAGAGGAGTGACTTCTCTGTGACAAAAGCAAAGATGTAGACCACCAACAGCAAGACTGGGCTTGAGGGAGAGAAGGAAAAGGAACTTGAAATGAGAAGGTATAATATTAAATAGATCAGAAAAGTGATAAAGTGAGAACTTCTGTTTGCAGGGGTCAGAGTGATTTTTTTTTTCCGAAGTAAAGAAGTAACTTTGTACTTCTGGAAGTAAGACAACTGGATTCAACTTATACTGAAATCAGAGCAGATGTTACTGGAGAGAGAATAAAGGAATTTCTCTCAAGGCGAATTCTAGGTGGTGACCAGATCTGTGAACAGATTGGATTATCAAAGTTTAGCAGAGTTATTTTGAATTCTATAACTGCTCAACATAAGTGTGTCTCCTGCCTAGGTAATGTTGATACCATAATGCCTCATTAGGAATATTGATGTTGAATACATTGCTGCTCGTTATAATTTGAATCATATACCTAAAGATTTTTTAATTGTTTGTGCATTAATGTGTTTTACACCAAGAGCACATTAATCTGTTCTCCTTCAGTGCCATAAAGGCCAGTTAGCAAATTTGTAGGAGCTGAAGTTGTCACACTTAAAATGAACATGCTTTTTGTGTTATCTAGGATTACTTTTTTTTCTTCTATTTTATTTATTTATTTATTTATGTATTTGAGACAGAGTTTCACTCTTGTTGCCCAGGCTGAAGTGCAGTGGCGTGATCTCGGCTCACCACAACCTCCCCCTCCCAGGTTCAAGAGATTCTCCAGCCTCAGCCTCCCGAGTAGCTGGGATTACAGGCGTGTGCCACCACACCTGGCTAATTTTGTATTTTTAGTAGAGATGGGGTTTCTCTATGTTGGTCAGGCTGATCTCGAACTCCCAACCTCAGGTGATCTGCCCTCCTTGGTCTCCCAAAGTGCTGGGATTACAGCTGTGAGCCACCACACCTGGCCGGTTTAATTTTTTAAAGAAAGATTAACCAGAACTTTTATGTGGTCTGATATTGTTCTAAATACTAAGGTTTTGATCCTCTCTCCAAACCTTCTCTTTTCCCAAGGTTTTCATATTCTAGAAAATGTATTAATTATCCCTGACTTCTCACTTGTGATGGATGCCTATTGGATGTTCTGACTGGATTCCGCCCCTTGAAATCCTTGGTCCACAAGGTCAGAGGGACAGGCTCCCAGATACCATCTTGTTCAAAATAACTCAATTCCCTTGGATTTCCATGAGCACATTATTGAGTAAAACAGGATCACATTTCCCGCCACCGCCCTTCCCCCCACTCTAGATTTGTAATCTAGCATGAGAGAAAGTCAGGTTAGTCTCAATTGACTGAAGGGCTAACATCTGAATCTGCAATTTTCTAATCACTGTGAGAGCTAAGAAACAGAAAAGACTACTTATAATAAAAGAGAACAATCAGGCGGACAAGGTATATAAAAAATGAGTTGTCAGTTGGCCATGCCATGGTTCTAAAGTTTCCTTCTTTCTTTCTTTCTTTTTTTTTTCCTGAGGCGGAGTCTCACTCTGTCACCCAGGCTGGAGTGCAGTGGTGCTATCTCAGTTCACTGCAAGCTCCACCTCCCGGGTTCATGCCATTCTCCTGCCTCAGCCTCTGGAGTAACTGGGACTACAGGC